AAATATCTTAATAAAAGTAAATTTTAGAAGCGAATTTTTTGCCTAAAAATATTAAGTAAATTAAGTCTGAAACAAGGAAATAAAGGGACAACGGAATTCGATTTAGAGCGTCGCCATTTGTTTCAATTTAGTTTTGCGCAAGAATCACAAAGTAAAAATCGATAGAAAAAGAAGATAAAATAGGGTAATCTATGCCTACAACATAAACTATTTCGCCATTAATTAAAGTAGTTTATACTCGTACATGTATTTGTTTCTCTATTTTACATTGTAGTAATCTACTAGTCATGCGATAGGCTTATTAATAGAAGACTATTCCTCTGTTAGACTATCACGTACGATAGCGCCATATTCATAGCAATTACAAAAAAGTTTCTCAGCAACTTTATTATTTAAATTGTTTGCTGGCACGAAACTACTGTACCTTGGTTTAGGTCTATAGATATTTTCAACTTTATTATCCAATTTATAGCGTTTATGACGATAATTAATTGTTTTAAATATTTTCTACGTCATTCAAATACTGATGGGGCACTTCTTTATGATATCGCTAATCGCCATATAAAACTTACAATATATAGCGTCGATTTGATTTGATGATTAATTTTCTTTAAAGTAAATGTTATACAATTCTCTAGTAGTATTATCTAGCATTAAAGGCCGCCTATATCTATAACTGAAATTTATTAGTTTGATTAATGACAAGTAACCAATGCTATCATCGATTTATTAAATATAATGAATTGCTGATTATTACCAAAGAATAAATCAGAATACTTCGTCTAAGGATTGCTCGGTTATTGCTATTTTCTCAAAAATTATATTCTTCTTTAAGAAGTAATTTGTTCTTAACGATGATTCATCACTAACGTACTGTAAATTAAAGTAACAGAAAGCTACCTCTAACTATCGGTAGTTAAATACGATTTACAGAATATTCGTATCGTGTCAAGTGTGTGATGTTCCGTTTTATCAAATATAATCAGGAGTAGAAATTAATTATAATACTTAATCACTTTAAAGGATCTAACAAACATTATATTAGACCTCCATTAAATAATCGTAATTTTGCCATTGTAGTTAAATGGTTGATAGTCGTCAGAGATCGCGCACACTATCATCATGATCAAAGGTGCCAATTATGTCATATTTTCACACGCCAATTATCGGTAAATACGTGTATGATAAGCATTCGAAAAACGATAGAGGTTTAATAAAGGTTGATTAAAAATGAGCACATATTAATAATTTCCATAATAAGATTGCAGTACAAGTATTTATTTATCAGTCACTACACACAAGTTGAAAGGCATCATTAGAAAGAAGATTGATAAAGAGTACAGTACTAGACATTTTCTTCGTCAATAATCGTCCAAAAATAACGGCATTAACTTTAGTCGGCATAGGCAATGTAAAATATACAGAATGACAATGTGCTATATATCTCAGATAACAATAATCATAATAATTGCTTATTATGCTATCGATTAAAGAAGATATTGTATAAATTATTATGTGGGAAGATAATCATCGTAATAGCCAATTAGTATTACTCGATATCTTTATACCTTTTCTAACCCTAACCTTTCATGCCAACATTTATCAGGATGTGAATTTGTTTATTCTATAATTTTCATAGCATAAATGAATCCAAGAGCAAAGTGTATTTATTTGGTATTTAGTCAATGAGCTTAGCTCAAAAAAGAGACTTTAAATGTCACCTTAATTTGTATTTTTATAGTATCCGTATCGTCCTTTTCATATTTTATCTAACTATGGTTGAAATTATTAATACAGGTGCATTTTATGAAGTTAAAATAACTATTATTAATAAGCTTTTCTTTAAAATATATCTTTTGTTACTATATCCTAAGCTAAATATGATCAACATCAAGGTCATACTCTATTTTCTTTATTAGCAATAGTATCAATACACCAATACACTGCTCGGCCATTGAATAAACAATAATGTCTCGTTCTAGGTTATTTTTGCGCTTACTTATTTATTTTATTTGTTTTAATTTTCATTTCTTCCTTAGTTATAGCGTAATGATTGAAAGAAGGTTGATCTATTTGTTCTATACGCTGTACTTTGACGATTGCAAATTAATCTGAAAACTACAAATTATTATTGGCAGCATAATAAAGCCATTTTTTATAAGTTGCGTAGTTGATATTAGAGACTGAACAGGAACTAAACAGAAAACTTTACAATGATTAAGTAATCAAATGACCTATCTCAACCTTTCAACATTTACCTAACGATTTCATGTATTATTTTCTACTACTAGTAAAAATGAACTGCTAAAGTGGAAAAGATTTTACTAGAAACATAATATACACATATTGACAAGTAGTGTACATATAACCAGTCAGAATTAGCAGAATTAGTTTCTAATGTTAGAACTGATGAAATTTTACATAAGTCTCAAATTTATATTGTTCCAAAGCGGTTAAAAAATCGAAATAATATTTATTTATTAATATGTATTAGTATTATTCCAGAACCATCTAAAAATCTGAATAATATTTATAAGGATTTATTATAAGCACAAATTATAATATATCCCTAATATGTTACACAATAGCGACCGAAATTCAACACCTTGCTTTTAGCGTCGAATGGTCTCATCAAGTAATTATACTTGCGTAATCAGGCGTACGAACAACACCATGTTGATAAAAGATTGTTAAGATGTCCATTGCTATATTAAGTTGTGATTAACAGTAAGCAAACTTACTTTGAATACTCTTACTTTTGGACAAGATTCTACATCAATTCTATTGCAACTTGTAATGGCTAACAACATAATGATGTAATTATTAAACACAATATCTATTCCAGATGTTACAAAAAAATTACGCTTTCAATAATTTATAAATAGCGCATTACATGAATGCAATCAATCAGCTAGTAATATCAGGTATTTATTGTTATGACAATTTAAATCGCTTAGTATCGGTATACGAGTATCCTAATAACATATATATTTAGATTACATTTCAGCATTACTTCATTTCTTCTTTAATTGTACCGTCATGCGGCTGTTTCATTATCTGTTTATCTGCGGATTTTGTAATCTTCTCTATCTTGCAAATGGGTCGCAATGCAAAGAAAATATTACAATCCTGTGTTTGATACCTCATTTTTCTACTTCTTCATCAAGTCGATCACTTCTTGGCGCGGTCACGATGGCAATAGATGACATTAATCAAAACCATGCTATTTTACCGAATCACCAATTGCAAGTTGAATTTCTTGATAGTCTGGTAAAATATTATATTTTTAATGTCACAGTCCAGTATAATAAGTACAAAACTTAATCTATAACTTTGCTTATCTTCAGTTCGAAAATTGTTAAAATTGTAACAATCTATAACTGTCAAGCTCTTTTAAACATCATAAATCTCTAGAATCAGACTCATTTAGCACATTAATTTATATTGATTTTTACAACTAGTGTTATAAGCATTATTAAATCTATTTTCGAGTTTTAGCATATGGTGTATATTTGAAACATTGTATTGATAATTTTCTTCATTTTCCGACTAAAGCATAACCACAGGTACTTTTCTAATTCAGATGAACGGTCCAATAGCAGCAAAAGAAATTATTGAATCTATTTCACGTCCTCCAACTAAGGTTGCCGTTATTGGTCCATTATTATCTACGGCTACCGAATATGCTGCATCCATGACCAAATTTTGGAATTTAGTTCAGGTTAATCGAGATCACATGTATTCGATATATCATTTTAGTGGCAATATCATAATGTTTTATTATAAACAAAAACTGATAGTAGTAGTTTAAAATTATGTAAATTTTACCATTTTCTATGGAATCATATTCTTATGCATAAATTTTGCTTATGCTATCTGTATTCTTTGTATCGTATGTACAGCTAGGATATGCAGCTACGACTATTGCTTTGGATGACAAAACTACCTATCCATACTATTTTAGAACTGCTGTCACAGAAAAAAGTTATACAGCTGCCAGACTAGCGTTTTTTAAGCACTTTAATTGGAAGACCGTAGGAATTATTCATAGTTCTTCAGGTGCTCACCCGAAGGTATGAAAATTAACATCAAAGTTGAATGTTACGTCACGTTAAACAGCCCAAATGAAATTATAAGTTGAATGCTCTGTCCTATTAATTCTTAATATACTTGTAATTATAGAATTTTAATTATCATTACAATGCTTAGGATAGCACGTTTTAAAATCCTCAGAAATCGACAATTAGGATATTTCATATGGATCCTGATCATTTTTGAGCAATTTTTATAACACATTGTACTATATTGATCAATATAAATACGATTGCTACTTAATGCTTTAGATAATTGTCTGGTTTTATTTATGATATTTGTTACAAGTTCTTAAATACTGTATCATATGCAGAGTAGGCTTCAATTGTCTAGTCCTTAGGTATGAGCTTCACTAATATGCAGAAGAAATTATTGCTGTAAATACTTCTTACAGCATCATAAATCATTAATTAATAACATCTCAGTAAAACTATCCATTTAATTATTATTACAACAGCCCCTGACTCTGAAAAACTCGTTTATAAGTATTTTACCCGATTTTGTGGCTCTACAGATTTTCATTTCACTTTTCAGTTCTCAAAATTGCATTTCAGGAATGAGAAGCGAAACACCGCATACTAAAAACGCTTTATAAATAGCTTAAAATGTGTCTCTTCTTTGTAAATAAATACTGAAATTAGTTTTAATTGAAAAATTTATAGTTTAACTAAATATTAATAACAAACATCTTAATATAGTTAGCTCTATTGGTTCAACAGCAAATGATAAACGCAAATATTAATGTCGCGGTTTTAGAAAGCATTGATAACGATCCGACATTCGCAATGAAGAATTTATTGGTAAAAATGAATTCAATATTTATTAAAACATAGCATTGACCGTACGCAATCGATAGTAATGATTTTATAGAGATATTTAATAACTTATTTAAAATTTATCTTAACTAGAGTAAAGACGTCCGAATTATCATGTTCTTCGGAGGAAGTAACATAGCCTTAAAAGTAATGTGCTCGGTTAGTTCATATTATAACTAAAATCCATGAAAATATCATGTACCATACGCGTTTAAACAAGACTTTATTGAAATGGCCCATATTTTTTATTGTATTATTTATTCATAAAATACTATAACTTTACTCAGATCTGACTTAGTAGATCAGTGTCATTTTCTTTCATTAATAAATGAATTAGCTTAATTTCTTAGAAAAAATGGTAATTTATTTAAAATTTCATTAGCAATACAATAAATATTCAAACGCTTTCGATTTATGTAGATCTATAGTGTTAATTTACGAAATTTTAAACCATTAGCCACATGATTTAAGTGTTATTGCTAATGGATGTCAGTAAAAGCCATCGATCAAAAAACAATAAACAAATTGCAATCTATCTCAGTACCAAATATTGAAATTATTCTACTCCGTTAGTAACAGTAATTTATTATGCGTGTTCGTAGATAGATTATAGACCAATTTAGTTAAGAAGTATAACTTATCGAAAAATAATCTGTGCAGTGAACATGGTTTCACTATATCTTTAATGCCGTAGGCATATCATTTGCATATCTACGGGCCAAAGTACTCATGGTGGTTTCAAGGATGGCTGCATTCTACCTGGTGGGACGTAGAAAGTCCAAATAATAATTGCACGAAGGAACAGCTTTTTGAGGCCATTAACAATAATACATTTTATACCAAAACCCCATTATATTCAACTTCTGGTAGGATTTCCATATCTGGCAAGGTAACCATTATAACTTATACTATACTTCTTATTATTTGATAGTACTTTATTTTTGCTGTCGTTGTTACTGTATCTTATTCCATAAAGAAACGGGTACGCGTTGGCTTGCAAGCAATTAAAATTATGAAATATTTGAGGATTTATAAACTTTATTGTCATAATTGTCAGAACAAAATATCACTTTAGCAGTAAATTTAATATTATTACCACAGTATTAATTGTGGTAGCTTTTGTGGTAACTATTCTACCGATAGTATGTTGACACTTAGAATATTCTTTTCATAGGCCGGAACTCAGTACTATCAGCGACTAGAAAATAATTTAAATCAATCAAATACCTCCTTTTCAATTTCTGATTCAATTGGGACAATATACGATGCTGTGTGGTCTCTAGCGTTAGGATTAAATCGTACAGAACAACGACTAAATATGAATAAAACGTCCATTACTGAATTTGACTATCAAAACACTTTCATACGCTCTGTATTAGTGGAAAAATTATCTAAACTATCATTTTATGGAGTGACGGTTCGTCGCTGAGTTTGTATATCAGATTTATAATCAATTTCATTAGTTAAGATACTGTTTCTTATCTTACATGCTGTAGTTGTATTGTTTTACTAATACTTTATACCGGCCAATCATCATTTTATAGGGATACATCTCCTTTCTAAACGGGAGTAGTCGACTAGGTGATGTGACTATTTCGCAGCAACAAGGTACCGTATCAATGAGATGGGCTTTTTCAATTTCGTTCCTATAATGTTAACTTCTTCATATTTCGCAGTTTGGGATTCTCGCACTGCTGTCGCATTTTATAATATTCAAAAGAATACTTTGGAAATCAATAACGCTTCCCTGAAATGGCCAGGTTAGAAATAGTAGATAGCATGACTTCAAATACTGGGCATATTTTGCAAAGCATTAGATTACGGTACTATCGTATCACGGTATAAACGTCCTTGAAGAGTAAATGACTAAATTTAATTAACATTTATATATGGAGATGTCACAATTTCACTTCTGCGACAAGGTAACGTACAGTAAAAGTCTATAAGTAGCTACTAACTTAAACGCCCTTTTACTTAACGTTAAATACACACAGCAAAAGACTGTAAAGATGAAACTTTTATTAGCAAAGATACAGCTACAACTTTTTACTACAACTGAACTCAAATGTTCCCATTTATATAGGAACCGTCTAATTTGCAAACAATAACAGTATTATTGTTATATCTTACTAGGAGAAACATCTCGAACCGAGATGTTCCTTACGTAGCTTTACTATCAGTAAATATTTTGAATCTCTTACTCATACTTAGTCTTAATCTAAGCTCGTAGGTTGTCTAATTCAACTATCATTAACTAGAACTTGAATCATATTACTGCTATCTGTCACACAATACCAATCAATATCAAGTATGTAATGAACTATCACAAACAACATCCACGTTAAGGCATTACTTATCTTACACTACAAATATGGATATTCTCCATACTAGCTACTACTGTACTTAGTAAACTATCCTAATGATAAGGCAACACCGTAACAAGAGATAAGTATAATGACTTACAGTAAGAACTACGGTAATTATTATTTTACTCCAGTAATTAATGTTGTACAGTATTAAGAGTTCTATACGGTATCTAATGTTAATTGATTATAGTGTTATGTCTTGCAACGCTTGTGATGAATATCCTGAAGATATTTAACTATAGATGATACTATAAGTAATTCTGTTTAAGGACATACTATAATCTAATTATCTAGAATCGTTCAGTACACGTCTAAGATTATAAATAATTTCTGTATTAATTTAGCTATCCAGTATGAACTAAATTTCATGAACCCTTATGACTCATACACGATAGCAGCTGCCGAAGGGTATTTAAATTCGGCAGATAGTTGAATAAAAGAAGAGTTCTATAGTTATTTAACGTAGAAGCAAAGGCGTCTAAATTCTTGTGAGATAGTTAAGGGATACTGAATCACGGCGACTATAGTTATTTAGAAATTTGTTTTACGCTATCTTTGTTACGAAGCTGGTTTGTGACATATCGTCAATTAATAAGTAGAATATGTACGTGACTGGTTAACATATATGTTTTCTATGTGTTTTATATGCGTAAATACAGAAGGTACGCCTCCAAAAGATCGGTTAATTATCACCGTGATTATTAGAACTATCGCCCCAGAATTGTTTATACCATTCGCCATCGTAAGCTGCCTGGGAATATTGTTTTCATTAGCAATTATGACTTATGTGGCAATGAAGAGGCATAACAGGTTTTCGATATTAGTAAATTTATACCCTAAATTATACTGTATATTGCATATTTTAATTAGTGGAACAAATGCTAGATAGTAAATATCGGCGTGATCTTTAATTTTAGACAGATCAAAATGTCCAGCCCTAAATTGAATTATTGTATCCTATTTGGTTGTATTCTGTGCTACATTTCCGTAATATTAAATGGTATGGATGCAGCGCTAGTTGGCTACGAAAACAGAAAATATGCTTGTATAGCAGAGATATGGTTCTTAAGTCTTGGCTTCACCGTAGCTTTTGGCTCTGTGATGCTAAAAACATGGAGAATATTTAAAATATTTACGAATGTAGCAAAAGTGAAGCTGGTAAGTCCTCATAACAAAACTAAGAGAATATTAAAAATCACCTCAAATAGCGCGTTTTCCTTACAAGAATTAATATTTACGGCAAATGAAATTAAGCGATTAAGCTATCACTATAAAATTTTCATTTCTTTCACATAAACGATTTTACTTAATGTTCTAATTCAGATAATCAAGGACATACACCTAATATTTCGTCTAGTCCAACTGTTGGCCATTGATATTATCGTTTTGATATTGTGGATGTTAATTGATCCAATGACAACCACCGATGTTGGTATTGGACAGGAAAGGGTATGAATATATATAGCTTATCTATTAAATTTTACAAAACTATGAAGTTAATTGATAAAATTACCGAAAATGCTCGACCAATAAACTGATATTGATACATTTCTATCAGCAGCATGATGGTCAAAACATTATTCGTTATCGTGTTCAAGTCTGCTCATCGGAACAATCAATTGTTTGGTTAATTACAATCTTTGCGTTTAAGTTATCTATGTTATTATATGGAGTCAGTTTGGCATGGAGAACACGAAAAGTTTCCATTCCGTCGTTGAACGATTCTCGTTCTTTAGGACTGACGATTTACAACATATTCGTTTTAAGTTCGACTGGAGTCACCGTAGGAATGTTATCTAACAATGTGCTCAATGCTGGGTTTGCTTTGAAAGCAGCATTTGTAATTCTATGCACTACATCATCTATTTGCTTAATTTTTATTCCTAAGGTATATGGATAACTATATAAGTTCATTGCTAACATTAAATTATTCTACAAAAATATTTAAATTTATCATTAATCAAATCAATAACTTATCTGTTCATTAAAGAAGTAACGTATTTACTAATATAATGTACGATACCCGTAAACTTTATAGTACATAGAACATTGTTGCATTGCATGCTTATTACTAATAAATCCTTTTTACTTTTCGAAATTACTATAGCTGTGGAAAGTTATATCAAATTCATTGGCGGTAGGCTTTACAAAATCAGATCATAAAATGACTAATGGTTTCCAATCCGTTCTAACAAATACTGATCTTCAACTGGAGATTAGAAAATTACGTCTGATCATTGCTGAGGTAGGATAAGAATAGTTTCATTAAACACTTATTTGCTTTACCGTATTTCCGTTTTGTAAGCTCTTTACTTGCTTTTATAGTGACTAATGTAAAATATAGAATACGAATCTATTATCCATATCTTATCTATGACGAGTTCATTCTCTTATATATTAGCTGGGTATATTTAATTTTTGTTCATAAGTCGACAATTTCTTCTGAAATATTAAGCCTGTAACTCATCATTATTCGGAAATGTACAAATGTTCTCTTCACTTTAAGCTAAAGTATAGAGCTTTGAGCGTTATGAAGTTAAGAAAATAATGATTTGCTACGTTACGTGTGTATGAGCGTAATAAAGTATCTCACAAATAATCGTCTTAGTCAACATAGAATTTAAGAAAATACGACTTTCATTACTGGTTTAAGGATAGTAGAACAGTAGAACAATAATCCATTAGAATAAGAATTTCACCTAATTTATCCTAAGTTCAGGTGAAGTAAAATCTTCCATGAGCTCATCTCCTAAGTTCTTAAATACGATTTGCTTAATCTGCTTACGGTAGAAAAGTTGCCGCAAATAAGCATTGAGCCCTCAAGCAAAGATTTTTCCATAAACTTTTCATTACTATGTTTTCAGTACGAGTTAATCGGCTTAAAATATTATTACTCTTCTATTAATTTCGCATACCATAAAATGCTGACCATCTTCAATGTTATAGTATCTCTAGTCACATTATGGAGGGCATCACTACAATGAGCTCGAACTATGCCAATATTATCATTACTAAGAGAGCACACCTATCACAAAACAGCTTTTGCAACAAGGTAACGTAATGTACGATCAATAAGTCAATTCCTTGAACCACGTATCAAGGAACGATATCTGCGCTATCGCAAACACTTTTGCTCTACTAGCAGACTACACAAATACTCATACGCTTCATATTTTACGTTAAACACTAAGTTTAAGAATCCACTTTATTACACGATATACTGCATTTATATACTACTCCTCAATAGTCCATGAGTCATAGTTAGTACGATTAACTTTGGAATCATTCACTGAATTAGATATTAATTTTAGCTACTGCTCCCTTAATGCAGACAACAGTATTTACGAACATAGACATCTAATGATTAATACAGAATAGTCAGATCACGATATATCTTATCACGGAACATTTCCACGATAATTTACAATCTACCATAAGTAGTTACAATCATAATGATTCGATCTGTAAGTAGATGATTTGCATTCCCTATTATAACTATTAATTTCAGTATGTGTATATGTGTCACTGTCATAAAAAGTCAGTGCTATATTAAAGCACAGTATATCCAAATTAGAAGTTAACTAAATAAGGATAGGCTAACAGAATTATCCTAAGATAGATATTTCTACTCTAATACAGTATATAACACTGTCACAACTACTTACTCTATAATTATGTAAAAAAGCAAATTAAAGTAAGTTAATATCAATGAAAGCAAGGCTATGGTACTCTTATATTTATCTAGCAATTTCTTTAACGCTCATTATAGATTCGAGATAGATTATTTTACCTTGTTGACTGCATATTCCAATCAAGACTATGATACAGAAACAGAGCCTAATTTATTTACTATTTACTTTCAAAAAGTTACAACACTCTAACAATGCTACGAGAACAGAAAAACTCAATAACCCTTTATAGAGTCAGCATGTGCCTATTTTCTTTCACATGGGTTACCAATCTGTGATAATTAGCAATTAAACTGTTTAAATAACCTCTTCAGCGTAAAAACGACAATTTTTCGAAAGTATTTTCCATATCAAACTGGATTTACTTTACAAAGATACTTAATACTATGCTTGTTCTCATGTTGAATGCTATATCTGGATATCAACAATATTGAATCACAAGTAATAAAGTACCTTTCACTCTTTTTTTAGCAAGATGATATACTTCAGAAGTATCGCAAGCAAGAAAGTCTACAAAGCATCTACAATGAAAGCATTTGAAGTTGCATTGCAAACCTATCTTTTAAAGAGTCTAACTTACGTATGAAATCACGAATCGCCGATCTGTAGAAATACCAGCGCCTTGTAAAATAATCGTATGCATAATTAATATTACCCTCTAAGTTATCCGCAAAGGTAGTTGAAAGTCTCCAGAAATTACGAGAAAAAATGAATTCAAAAATAAATTAACTGATAATCAATCTAATTTATGGCTTATAGCAGATCATGCAAAAATCTTTTGATTACGCTATCATTAATATATTGATGATCATAGATGTCTTATAAATTAAGATCAAAATAATTCACAATAACATCTTGTAATTACTGTAGATATGGTATCCATACTATACATAGCCATTAATAACTTGCTGATATCAACGTTATAAAATAAGTGCGGAGCTAAAATTTAAATAATAGAAAAATTAAAAATTTAATTCTTACTGTTAGCTGCAAATAAATCAATTACGATATGAAATGTATTGTGTGTAATGTTATTTATCATAGATAAAGTATTATGTGTAGAGTGCATTGTATTAATTCGTTATTTATAATTTTTACTACTAGCTCTTCGGAGATGATAGAAATTTGTATCATTATTTACATTATTTGCCATTCAAGAGCATGATTCCTATGATTCTTTGAATTATAATGTAATCTGAGAGTCGCTGTTTTATTTTTACGTGCTGGAAGGGTGTAGAATCTTATTCATTTCTTAGCATATGATTTTTCCCGTTTCTTTGATAATATAATATTTAAAAATCAATTCTGCACAGCGCTTTGTCAAGCGTTTCTGTTTGCATACTCTAAACAATTAGTTTAATGTAATGGAAATCGAAGGCTTCAATACCCGTTAACAGGAAAACATCTTTCATCTATTTAAAAGGGACTTTCAATAGTAGCCACTATACGTAAATTATTCATCTACTAACCTTGGTTGGCTCCTGATTTGACTTGCTTTATTTTGCTTTATTTTGATTATTTCATTAAAAATTGATAATTAATCTCAAAATAAAGTCATAGTTGTAATCGAAGAAAACTAGATATTCATATATAGATACTCTAATAATCATATGTATCGATTAGAACTATAAATGCATATCTGGTAATCACAATGTATACCCAGCCATACCAGGATTAAAAGCCTTCAAAAGTGTTTTGCTCTATATGCGCTACGTGGCCTTACAATCCTTTTATTTAATTCTAAATTTAGTCTGATTTGGTTCTGAAAGCAATTATAAAAAATCAGTGGATTAATCAGTACCATTAATTCATTCAGAACGATTAATATTTACAAGCAATATTAAATTTCCACCGAAATTAGCTGCAAAGATAGTGTCTCAAAGCTATTCGTAGTAAATTATCTCGAAAATGGAAGACTTAGATTTTACTTATAAACCTCGCTCGGTTACATAATTTAGTTCTTTTGTCAACTAATGCTGATATGCAATCTTACCAGCTACCCTACATAAATGATCTATTTTAGAGCTTTACCACCATTTTGAAATGTTAGTTTTTAGAAACTATCGCGTATTTCAGTGCATATTACGAAAGTAACGAATAGAGTTTGAAATAAACTTGCAA